AAGACATAAAGAGCGGCGTCACTCCTAAAAAAAAACTCGTCTGGTGCATGTCCGCCCCATCCCTTGATACCCCTTTTTGCTGTCCCTCCACTTTTGATATTGACTATACTTAAACCTTAGGGATGTTAGGGGGGGGGGGGTTCTACAAAAAAACGTCGCATCACCCTTTTAAAATGCTAGATCCACCCCTGTGTATATATCATTCCATTATTGAATTTTAAATAATTCTTCAAACGAATGCGACTTCAGAAATCTCACGTTTATTCGTACTGCTAAGTTCAAGCAAAAACATTTATGTATTGGACAGTGGATTTAACACTAGAAAACTTTTTTTATAATTAATGACATATTTTTATAAACATAGATATATTGGATTGTAAAATAAAATTTATTTTTGTTAATTTTTTGAAAATATTTATATCAATTGTTTAAAAAAAGTTTTCCCTCCCATCTCATAAACGCTATTTGCAGACCTCTCTTCCCCTCCGAGCGTACTTACTTTATGGACAATCCCTTATTGTAAAAATATTATAAATTAGTCGATTTCTCAAACTGACTTTTGTCCACCTAGCTTGAATAAAACGAAACACAGTGCGCCATTGTTTACATAGGTTTTTGTGCTTATGTCATCCAACAATTGTTGCATGCTTTAAGACATTAAACGTAACTAGCAATATACCATTATTTCGTTCCGGCCAGAATTATAATATTTCAAGCCTGAATGCCGGAATTTACTTTTTACTTTATTTATTTAAGACAAGTGACACAGACTGTGTAAACTAAATCAAAAAACCATTGTCCTACAGGGCAATGAAGAACTATGGGTAAACCAATAGAAAAGACAATAAATAATCTCTATGTTTATATTAAAGGGTCACCACTTTGAGCAAGTCTCCACACAAGCGATTGAAAAAAATAATTTTAGACCGCATATCTGTAGCTTTGCCTAATTTTATTTGCAGTAATCACTTATGTAAAGATTTCTGAAAAGTTAGGAATATTGTGGTGCAAAAAGAGTTGCTATTCAGTTTTGAGCAACAAACAAGCTCTTTTTTCATCAAAAATGTTACCTGCCTCTGACAGAAGTCTCATTTTTAATGTTTCTTAACTTTTAAATAGTTAAAAAGTATAGGATGCCTAATACAGTAAATATTTCATACATATATATGTATATATATATATATATATATATATATATATATATATATATATATATATATATATATATATATATATATATATATAATATATATTTATATATATATATATATATATATATTTTTCCACCCTCAAAGAACGTCGTTTGCGTGGTGATATAATCGAACAATTCAAGATTTTCAACAACTATGACGAAGTTCAATTTATGGTCCCACAGCACCAACTAATTGGGCGTGAGGTGTACAACCTACGCGGCCATGACAAGCAGCTTGATCGTCAATTCGTAAGAGGATGTGAGGAGAGATCAAACTTTTTCACAAACCGAGTTGCGGTCCATTGGAACTCTCTCACACAGCACGCGGTAAACGCTCCATCTTTAAATGCATTTAAAGATCGGATTTCGATGCGATAAACTGTTAAATCAGCATAGAGACTCCTGGAAAAGTCTCTTCATCAAATAATTTAACATTTAAATATATACATATGTATATGTATATATTTTTTAATTATTGTTACTGCATTATTGTGGTTTAAATGTATAAATTTGATTACTGAATATATCAAACTCAAACTCATATATATATATACATATATATATATACATATATATATATATATATATATATATATATATATATATATATATATATATATATATATATATAATATATATATATATAATATATATATATATATATATATATATATATATATATATTATAGGTTGTATATATATATTATAGATTAAATAAATATAAATTATGAAGCCACTTTCAATGAAGACAAAAAATTACATAAATATAAATCTCGTTTCGGCCAGCATTTTTTCAACAATTCCTGCAAATCTGGTTCCTGCCGAAATTCAAAATTTCCAAGCTAGAAAGATGGTTATGATGGGGTACACCCCATCATAACCATCTTTCTAGCACCCCAACATAACCGCCTTTCTAGCATTCTTTAGAGTAACTAAGGGACACGTAAACAATAAAATTGTTGATTGGCCAATGATATATTATATAAACTAGATGTCTAACTTTGATTTGAAAAGTGAAGCCGCTTTTTGCCCTTTTTCCAAATGGCGGATTAAATTTGTAAATAAATATTTTTAACTTTTCTTAAATGAAGTAAATATATTAAATATATATATAATTATATATATATTTAATATTAAATATATTAAATATATAATAAATATATATATTAAGAATATACTTTAAATTTAAATACTATTTATGTAAAAGTGTAAAGTGGAAATTAGAATACTTGTAAAATAGTAATTTATCATTCCTTAATTTATTTTTTATTAAAAAGGGATTAAAGTTTTGAATAGAAAAGTAAAACGACAGACGCTTTTGAAGCATTTTTGTGAATTAAAATACTTTTTAATAAACATAGGCTCATAAAAAATCTTTTGTAAGTATTTTACAACTATTAAAACTTGTTTTTGAATTATCTTTAATATGAAGGGAACTTTTAAATTGCATTTTTAACTTTTATTCCACATTTAGGCTTCAGCCTTGCCCCTTTTTACATATGCGGACTATTGTTATAAACAAAAAAAGCGGCTTAATTTTTTTTCCAATAAACCCCCGCAAGTTAGACATCTAGTTTAAATAATATATCAATACCATTAGCATAGTTTCTGTAGACAACGTTATATGTTTTTTTATTTAACTCGTCATCCTCTTTGCTAATCTTTATCTTCCTACTAAAATCCCCTCTTCCCTTCTCCTTGTATAAAGCGCGCGTAGCTTGCAAGATGTAAGGGTGAATGAAAAAATTCATAGATTGAAATAATAAATGGATTAAGTAATCCATGAATTGTTTCAGCTGCTTCAATTTGATATTCCAACTCTTTAATGATACACTGTCGCAAGGTTTTAACATTTTCTTCTTTTGTATTATAATTGTATAATTTGTATACTTGTATTGTATTATACACCCAACGCAAATATCAAGCAAGCATTTTTTCTAAGAGCTTTATCTGATACTTTCTTTTAAATGTCTTATAATCAAAATCTTCTTTTCGTTTAGCTTCTTTTAAATTAATGAATCAGTAAATTTCTTTAGATTTTTACGACTCTTATTTTTTATTGATTTGAAATTTACCAATTCGTCCATATTTAATATTGAATTTTTTTTTTTGTCCACCATATTTTCTTTAAATTTTTTTGGCAGCTTCATTAGTCTAACAAGAGTGTCCCAATCCATCAATTGCTGTTTATACTACACCAGACAGGTATTGTAACTGTAATAATTTATACTCCGGAATTGTGGGAGCTTGATATACACAAGCCTAAATCTAAACAATGTTGACTTAACAATGTTTTTATAATTACTGATGCGACAGTTCCATCAACAATCGCATTACTTCTTGTAAAAAATCTTTAAATTCCTTTTGGTATTCTTTCAATTCACATTTGTTTGGCATATCTTCATTATTTAATTGTATTAGTTTATGTCTTATTTTTGTTAGCTTCTGCTAATGTTTTCTTCTGCTGAACAGAAAATATATGGATACAGATGAAATGAACAGATAATATATGATACAGATGAAATGAACAGATAATATATATATATTTTCTGTTCATTTCTTCTGTATCATACATTTTCTGTTCATTTCATCTGTATCATATATTATCTGTTTATTTCATCTATATCATCTGTATCATATATTATCTGTTCATTTCATCTGTATCATATATTTTCTATTCATTTCATCTGTATCATATATTATCTGTTCATTTCATCTGTATCATATATTATCTGTTCATTTCATTAGCATCATATATTACTATTCATTTCATCTGTATCATATATTTTCTATTCATTTCATCTATATCATATTATCTGTTCATTTCATCTGTATCATATATTGTCTGTTCATTTCATCTGCATCATATATTACTATTCATTTTATCTGTATAATATATTATCTATTCATTTCATCTGCATCATATATGATACAAATGAAATGAACAGATATCAACTTGTACAAATTTTGATATCTTTTAAATACTCTGAAGAGAACTAAAATAAAATCAGTATTAAAAGACTTGTAATGGTAAAATTAATTACATTAAAAATTATTTGCTTATTTTGATTTTAATTACAAAAGCACACTTGCCTCTCAAATATGAGCAATCTGATTCGCTAATTTCAAAATTAGCGAATCAGATTGCTCATATTTCTGCCTATTCTGAGCCTGTATAAGGTTTCAAAATATGCATCTGGTACTGAATAGAATAAGAACATCACTTTAGATTATATTTTTGAGTTACAAATTTTTTTTCTGAAAACTTGGTAGGGTATTTATGCTTTAATTCATTAAAATAAGGATAGAATATCGTTAGAGACAGTCCAAACAAACGAGAGAAGATGCCGTTGTGGCTAAATTCGCAAATTTTAATAACTACGAATAAATTTTCAAAATTTAAAGACTAAAACTAAGATCGAGAATTGAAAATATTTTATAAAATATTTTTATAAAAAAATTTTTAAACTTTACATTTCTATGTAAATCTGTCGGTTATATTATTAACAAACATTTACATAACTGAAGGGCTAGACAAATGGCCCCTGGCTTAGAGAAAAAATAATAAACATAGACTGATTTTGCGCGGAGCCATCGGTAAATTTAATAAAAATTATTATAAATCCTGTACTTCATTAAATATTATTAGACTATAAATCCTGTACTCCATTAAATCCTGTACTCCATTAAATAATATTAGACAATAAATCCTGTACTCCATTAAATATTATTAGAGCAACAGCGTGTAAAGAAAAACAAATTATTTTATTATTAAGCCAACAATCTTCAATTTACTAAATAAGAAAACTTTTGAATGAAAATACATGTATCTATAAATAAAATGTAGCTTTATATTTGTTAGATGTATGAAAATAATATAAATCTAAATATCAAAAAATCATTAAAAAATGTTGCCGTTATTATACACGTCGCCAATAATTTGAGACCAAATATATAACAAAATTAACAAACCAGCCACTCATCAAAAAAATAATTTTCAAAATAAATAACTTAATTTTAATTGAACACTTAAGGCAAATTGAAATTGAAAATCTAAGTTTAGAAATTAAACGTTGCCTGCAGACTATAATAAAAAACAAACCGTTCGTGATAGCATACAGTGTAATGGTTAAAAAAAAGATGAACTTATAAAAATTCGAAATGCTAAAGCCAGAATCTAAGCCGATAAAACTATAAAAGCGTACATTTTTCTTCGTCTGAAGTCCCTGTTGCATCAGCCGATCTCTCGCGCTGCTCCGCTAACTTTAATTGTCTGTCTAGTTCTTGTAATTTTTTTCTATGATCTTTAATTTTGTTTAATTCTTCTTTTTTACCGCTATCCGCTAATTCTTTTTCTAAAACTTCGGCCATCATAAACAATTCTTCAGCACCAATTGAAGTTCTTTTTTTATATTTCATATCTAGTTTAGCAAGTTCACGTTTGTCTTTTATAACTTTTTCTTTAGAAAGTTTTAGTATTTCTTCACGACCATTTAATTCGGCCTCTATAAATTCTCTTGTTTCTGCATGTACTGTGACAATTTCCGACAATTTTTTACGTTCAATTTCTAAATCAGTGACAATAGCTTCTTTTTGCCGTTCGATAGATTTATATTTTTCGCTCATATATGTTTCAATTTGCTTTTGTTCGTTTCGGTATTTTTCTTCAAGTTCTCGCAACACAGATTTTTCGCGCAAAATTAGGTCCATTTCAGCATCTTTTTCTTGATCTAAATCTTCGTTTTCTTCTGGTGATAAACCTTCCCGACCTTCGTTACCTGATTCCTGCGCATGTTGCTTTTCCAGGAGATTAATACGTTTTCGCTGTTTGTATAAAACTTTTTTTTTTTTCAGTTGCTTCCTTTTCTAAATCTTGACATTCTTTCTCAATGAGCGCTTCTTGTTTAAGTAGAGGTTCTAATTCTTTTTCATATTTCTCAATTTGCTTGCGAATTGGAACAACAAGAGCCGCTTCATTTGCCAAATGATTTTCCAGTTTGGTTTTTGTCTCACTAACTAATTGGGAAGCTTTCAGTAATGCAAACTGAAAAAATAATAAATTAAATTATTTTATTTAAAATTCATAGGAAACGCCATATACATATATCAACTCAGAATATAATTTTATATGAATATTCATACAAAAGTTAATAAACTAGAAAAAAAGACAGTAAAGTATATAAGAAAACAACGACATAGGATAGTCTGGAAGGAACATTCGCAAGAAATTATTCATGTTATTTTACTTAGATATTTCTTTCGTTTGTTTTTACTAAAATTTTAATAAAAATTAAAAAAAAACTTTATGAACAACATTTTATTTAATAACAACTAACTTTATATCTAAATTTAAAACAAATGATGAAAAAAATTCCATCAGAAAATTTTTCTAGATTTCTTATAAGATCTAAAGGACTTCTATAGAAATAAACTGATATTAGATTAAAAATTACTTAACGACATTACGTTCTGTCAGATTTTTTATAGGACTTTTATAAGTCATAAACAATTTTTTTTAAACATCATAAGATAAAGATAGGATTTCTATTGGCCTCATGTAATGACCAAAACTGCTGCTCTGACTGCGAGGGTGGGGTCATTGGGAATTTTTTACCCGTATAAAGGAGTATGGATACACAACAGTAAAAAAAATTTTTTCGTTTCTTTTAAGTTTTATTGAAATAGATTTACTGGGTATTAATAATTTTGTACTTTAAGCTACTTAGTGGAAGCCGTATTTGATAGAAAACCCTTACCAAGACAACTGGTTCATCTTCATTGAACCTCATAAACTTGATAGTGTGCACGCATTGAGGCTGTGAAGCCGTTGGTTGACTGTGAAGCCGTTGGTTGACTGTAAAGCCGTTGGTTGACTGTGAAGCCGTTGGTTGACTGTGAAGCCGTTGGTTAAGCAACCCAGAGAAATCTTTGTATCTTTGTAGAAGGTAATTATGTTCTGCAGATTGTTTTAATGTCTACTGATCAATTGAAGTAAAATCTATGATATGTCAAATGGATATAGTCATTTGAATTTACCAACTTGACAACTTTCTGGTTCAAAGCTTTTCAAGCAATAAACTTTGTCAGTGTCTTATTTCAATCAGTAAAGATATCGAGATGAAGCTTATGAACAACCATAAAACTTTTATTTCAGAATCTATATAGTTATTGTTGTTGAAGATGTCGAGGATCACCAAAATGCAATCTTATTGGTATAACTTCATTCATAAAACACATTTGATTGACTCTGTTTTAGCTTAATTAAAATGGTTTTAATTTTGTCCAATGAAGGACTAAGAGAAGAGAAAAATCTTTCACAAAGAAGCTAGAAACAAAGCTCATTCCACCAAAACAAAAAAAAAAAACAGTTTGAAATATACTGCTCTTGTTGCTTGCATTCAACAAACTTGAAGCTGTAATTGGACTTTGCATAAGTTCTCAAAAGCTCTGTGCTACGATACCTTGCAAAAGCTCTGTGCTATGATAAAGTCATTGCAAAAGCTCTGTGCTACGATACTTTGCAAAAGCTCTGTGCTACGATCAAGTCATTGCAAAAGCTCTGTGCTACGATACTTTGCAAAAGCTCTGTGCTACAATAAAGTCATTGCAAAAGCTCTGTGCTACGATAAAATCATTACAAATTTTCTAATGAGTATAGCCCAGAATGTCAATTTTTCTAAAGCAATATGTAGAACAGCTGTAGCATTTTAAACCTCAGTTATTGCAATATTCAAATATATAATAATTGTGGTTCTTTTTTATACATAATGATATATTATACTATACTATGTGTCAGTTAGTGTATGGCTGCATATAAAAGTTTTAAAGATTAAGAGTTGTCCTAATCTAGAAATAAATTTTTCAAATATTTTGGTTACATTTGGGTTATTTTTCGGGCCTGGAAATGACTATGTAGTTTACTAGATTTGTTGGGCACTCATAGGAATAAAAAACATATATTAAAAATTGTATTATAACAATAATACAATTTCTCCTACATATACAAGATTCCAATAAGTGTTATCTAATAGTTCTTTTCATTTATGGGATTTAGAAGATTAAATTCTATTGAATTTTTATAGCTCCTATAGAATTTTATCAAATATGATTTTTAAATTTAAACTTCATAAAAAGCATAAAAATAAATTTCTACTGTTTATAGGTCCATCACTTACACACACACTATAAATGTTTGACGCTGAATAAACTTTTTGTAGCTAGAATGTCTATAACCAAATTAGCTTACAGCAAAATAGTATAAAAATTAACTCAAACTTTATACTGAAAAAATTATACTTTCATCTGCAGTATTCATAAATCAAATGATTCTCCTTTTTATTTTTTTTATTTTTTATTTATTAATATTTTAAAATAATTTTACAAATAATAACGCAACAGTAGTTGTTTTATTCTGTTTTATTTTTAGTCATTGTAAATTCAACTTATGTTAATTAAGCTCAAAGTGTAATTTTTTTTACTTGAAAGTAAAATTTTTACCATTTTACTGCTTTAATAGGTTTATTTGTCTTTAATAGATTGGACGAGGTTTTGTTGATGTTGTTATAAATTTAAAACATGTTACATAAGCCAATAGCTAATAAAGCTAATAAAGATTTTTTATGATAAAATTGAGATAAATTCCATAGTTAACAATATAACATCAATACAGTAACTGTAATTAATATTTTTACAAACATAGAAGTAATACCAACAAGAATGTGTAACTCCGCTAAATTTAATTTATTTTTTTTAATAACTGAAGAAATAGTTTATAAACTAAAATATATAAGTTATACAATATTTTAAATTTGTTTAAGAAAATCATACCTATTGTAGAAAAGCAAGAAGGAAACATGTTTTAACAACTTTATCAATAATATATCTTGATTATTTGTTGTTCAGATATTTTACTAATATCAGATTATCTTATTAGTTTTTTCTGTTAATTTGAGATATTTTCTCAATCATTTAATTTTGATGTTTCACCCCTGTTCAATACATATAAATTTGTTTTGCAAAATTTACAAATGTTTTTTGAACAACACTCTTTTTCTACATCATATTTACTACAAAATAAATTTTGAATATGAAGTTGTACTTGTGTGGAGTTACTTTAATAAGTTTATGCGATTCTTTTCCAAAGGAAATAAAGCAATATGCACAAATTAGACATTTTTCGTTGACCATTTTGACAAAAAATATAAGTTTTATATGATCGCTTTTAACCGTAATAATAATTATTTTTATTTGTATTGCAGCATTTTGTACCAATTTGAATAGATGATGTAATCATAAAATGACGCAATTTATTTTAATTAAATCTAAAATTTTTATGTTTAAAAGTTATATTTAACCCAATAATAGTAAGTAAACAAAAAATTTTAGAATAAACCAAAATTTACCCTGGCAGTCTAAGGAGAGCACAATGGTAGGTTAGTTAAAAAAATAGTAGGTTTGTTAAAAAATGAAATTAGTTAGATAAAAGGTAAACAATTTTCTGAGATTTATTGATAAATGTGATTAATTTAAAAGTTATAATTACTGATTTAAAATAAAAAGTAAATAAAATTTAGGTATTAGTTTGGGTATAAACAAATGATTGTGGTTTATGGCACAAAAATCAATACATGATGATAAAATACTTGAAATCTATGTATAATGGTATTATTAGGTTTTAATTAATTTTTATAATAATTTTTAATCATACTAAGATACAAATGGACACAAAAATTAAAACATTACCCAAGAACAAAATACAAAGGTGCAAAGCAGTAGTTATCAGCATTTTTGAAAAAATAAAAACAATATTAATAAAAATAAGGTCAGGAAACCAAACCCAACAATAAAAAAATAAAAAATAAATAAATTTAAGTTGTAAGTTATTCTTATAATTTTTAATTATTTAAGTTAGTCTGTTAGTAATGAAGTTACCACTCTCAAGGACATTGATTTTGATAGATTTGTTTTTTTTAAGTTACACAAATAAACACAAGTTGCTGAAATAAATAGATTAACACAAATAAGTACTGAAATAGCAAAATGTTACTACTGATGTTAGTACTGAAATAGCAAGATGTTACTACTGATGTTAGTACTGAAATAGCATAGATAGTAAGATGTTACTACTGATGTTAGTACTGAAATAGCAAGATGTTACTACTGTTGTTAGTACTGAAATAGCAAGATGTTACTACTGATGTTAGTACTGAAATAGCAAGATGTTACTACTGATGTTAGTACTGAAATAGCAAGATGTTACTACTGTTGTTAGTACTGAAATAGCAAGATGTTACTACTGATGTTAGTACTGAAATAGCAAGATGTTACTACTGATGTTAGTACTGTTTCAGTACAACAGTTTTAGTACACCATGAAGTACTATAGTAACTGTAAAAATATTTAGAAGTGCATTAAAAAAAGATTTGAATAACGCTTGTACTGTTATTATAAGTACATTTTACAATTAGATAAAAATGATATTATTTAATTATATTTATATTATAATATTTTTTCATTTTATATTTATTTTGATGTTTTTAATGTAACTACAGGTTTTCCAAAAAATCCAAAAAATTGTTATTTATATACCAATCTATACTAGGTGTAATCTCATTTGAATTATTAAAACATATGAGTTCAAGTTATTTATTAAAATACTAATACAATGAGGTTGATTATGAATTTCACAGCAAGATGGAGTTAATTAAGTAAAATTGGTCAAATAAAAACAAAATTAAAAATCATGTACTTCACAATTTTCGTATATGATATGCACTAGGTGACAAAAAAAGAGTAAAATGACTGGATTTTTCTGTTGAAATAATAGAATGCTTTTATATAAAGTTCGTTACAACTATTGGTAATCTGTAGATAAATTATTCTACAATATTCTTTACTGTGTTGATAACTGATGATTTGGTTAACTTTTGTCATTTGGTATCCTTTGTGCTAGTAGCCAATCTGTGACTGATTTAGCATCTTGTGATGAAATTAAATCAGGCTAAAATACGTATTTACGATTGCTGTGGTATTGAATAGAACTAACAGCCTATTTATAAACTCGTTGAGGGATACTTCTTGGTTTGTTTTAATTTTAAAGAATTTTAAGCTGATTTTAATCACCTTTTGGCAAAATAGCAAGCCAAAAAAAAACTTTTTAACTTCTTTTTGTTATTTAGGTGTCAGAGTCCAGTCATTTAAATAATATAAGTCATTATCTACTAAGAGCTAACCACCTAATTTAAAGCAGTTTATGTCAACAAAAAAATCTGAATTTTTGTAACTTCGTACATCTTGTTGTGCCAGTTCTGTTTTTAGTGTTCATTTATTGCATAAAATTCCTTCATATTTCCTTAATGGTTTTAGTGTTCATTCATTGCATAAAATTCCTTCATATTTCTTTGATGGTTTTGAACTTATTTGCAACTTTGTAAACAATTTTGTGTTAATTAGAAGCTGAATAATAAAAACTTCAATGGATTCAATGAAAAACTTATTTTGTTAATTACATATACTATAAAATGTAAAAAAGTATATCGTAAAATGCAAAAACATATATACCATAAAAAAATCACTTCCTCTTTGTCTCTAGTGGCTTTTGATTCACAAGATTGGATCAAAGCTAGTTGATTTAAAGCAATCTTCTGTCAAGAAATGGTTGTAATAATCAGTATAACTTTTTTAATTTGTACCAATTTTTGTTTGAAATGTAAAATAATAAAATACAGGTTATACACATGACACGTGTTTACAGTAAAATATGGCTTACATACATGACAACACTAAAATATATATTATCATTGCTAATATACCGTCAGCTAATGATCTATTTACATTTTGATTTTTTGGTTAACCTTATATTTTCTTATATTATGCATTGAACTGATTTGAGGTACATTAGACGGATACTGTGATTTTGTGCTAACTCTAAGGAGTGTGCTTGGTCAAATGCCAATTTTAGTGCGAGGGTCTTGTTTTCTAGTAGGCTCAGATGTATCATATTTGACTTTAAACTAGTAATAAATGCATCTCTGATAGATTCATCACAGTAAATATCAGCTGTTACTGCTTTAAAGTTAAGCTTGAATGATTTTTGTCTAGTGTTTCGCCAGTTTGTTGTATGGGTGTTACTAACTGATGTCGTGTTAATACTTTGTTTTTTTGTTTACCATACAACAGTATGAGAACTTTAGGCGCATTTTTAAAAGTTAGTGAATTGGATATGTATTCATAAACAATTGGCGATGTGAAGTTTATTTGTATTCTCAACTTTTCTTCAGATGTCTGATGATAAAAAGAAATTTTTAGAATCTTAAACCAGTGAATCCATTCTTTGTTTGATGTTGAAGAATTAGTCTTTGCGCCAAATCTTTCAGGGCGAAAATATTTCTTAATAAGAGTAATTTTGAATTTCAACCAAAACCTTTTTACTTTTTCTTCTTTTAAATAGAATACACATATGATAGATAAATTGAAATAATAACACCTCTTAAATGTTAAGGTTTTATCTATCATGTGTCACTAAACCAATACAATAAAAACTTTAAAATAGAGAGATTTATAATAAGTCATAATAAGTTCATAAATGATTTATAACAGGCTAATACAAATGACATATATTACTAATAAAATGGAAATACAATAAAAAATAGTTTAAACTCTTCCATAATGCCATATAAATCACACAAATGTTAAATTAAAACCATGCAATTGTACATAAAAAAAAAGTAAAATAAAAACCAAACTACATAAAATGACAATCAAGTACCTGATGTTTTCCTAATAATTCCATAAATATTTTTCTTTTTTCAGTTAAATCATCCTCTTCTTCATTGTTTCTCCACTCTTCTCTTCTTTCTGTAATGCTGTTAACTCGCTTCATTTTTGATTCCATTTCAACTAGTTTTTTAGTAGCTTCCTCTACCTTTTTGCGAGCTTGTCTTTGTTCTATTACAGTTTGTTCATGACTTATCAATTCTTCTTCCTCTGCTTTTTCCGCTATCTAGTAACAATGAAAAAACATAAAATATATAAAAAAATTTAATTCAATAGTTATTGAAATTAGTACTATTGTTTATAAATAAATATATTAATAAATACTACTTGTAATAACAATAAAATTTTAAAACCAACTTTAATATATTTTTTTGAAATTATTATGTCATTATGCAACTAATTGAAACAAAAAATTAAAATGATTAAAAACCTCTATCTCAATTTTTATATCTTTTATCTTCTTTTGTATTTCTTCTTGATGTTTCTTATGTTTTGTTTGCAAGGCCTCCAAAAGTTTCCATTGTCGTTGCAGTTCAGATTTTCCTTGCATTAATCCAACTTTACCTTCTAATGTATCTTGCTCTGCTCGCTGCAAGTTTTCTTTAGCTTGGGAAATTTCAATATGAGAAGCTTTAGTGGCTTCTTCATATTCAGTTTCAAGGATCTTCAGTCGTATTCTTAACTCATTAGCTTTAAGGGATTCTTTACCTAAAAGATAAAAGAAGAACACATTAAATAGAAAAATTAAGAGCACACTAAAATCAAGAAGAACACACTAAAATCAAAATTTTTATTTTTATATATCATAAGCTTTTAAAAACTTGAAAACAAATTCATTCATTTAATAAAAGATACTCGAAAACTGTTGTTATATACAATAGAATATATGTTGTTATAAATATGTTGTGTTATACATTATAATATACGGAAAAGGAGGGGGACCCAAAAGTTCGTGGAATAAAAAGGTTTTAAATAAAATGAGACAAATCTATTATTTTTTTCAATATAATTTCCCTTATAATGAATACACTTATTAGATCTATAAATTAATTTTTCTATGCCATCATAAAAGTATTTTTTATCTTTTGCTTCAAAATGAGCTAAAGTTGCCTCCTTTACCTCATTGTCATTAAAAATAATATCCTTCCCCTTGAGTCATTTTCAAATTAGGGAACAAATAAAAATCACTTAGTACCAGATCTGTAAACAATATTTAACATATCCGGTATATCCGGCCGGATATATAAATTTATATCCATCATATCCGGCCGGATAAGTAAAAAATCATATCTGGTACACCTCTAGACTGTAGGGTGAGTGTACTAGTAATTCAAAGCAATGTGTGTGCAGAGCAACAACTGCAACTCTGCTATTGTGAACAGGCATATTGTCTTGCAAGAGCAACACACCCTTGGTCAATTTTCCTCAACGTTTTTTCTTGATAGTCTCCTTTAATTTTTCTAATATTGTAGAGTAGTACTCTTTAGTTATGCACCTTCCCTTTTCTTTGTAGTCAATGAGTAGTATCCCCTCACAATCCCAATACAATGCCTTTTTATGCCATTGCATGGATTTTTGTTTGGATTCAAGTTTGAAGTGATGAATCCATGTTTTATCTCTTGTAACGAAATGCTCTAAAATCTCAGGGTGGCCACTTAAAATTTTTATAAGAAAAAGAGGATATTATAGGATTTTAGAGGAGATTTTGCATTTAATTTAGAGGATTTTTTTCGCAAAACTACAAAATTTTGAATAAATATAGAGGATTTTAGAGGATTTTTTTTCAAGGTTTAACACCTATGTTTCCACATAACTGGGGTTGGACAGGGGTCAACAATGTCATTTTTTGTTAGATGACATGAATTTGCTAAAATTGATTTTTTACAACCCAATTCTCATTTCAGACGTTACATATTTTGCAGACCATGAATTTTGAACATTATACATTATACTACCATCAAGAAATAAAAAAAAAAAAAAAAAGAGGAGTTAAAGAGGAGATTTTATGATTTTTTTAACTTTTTAGAAGATAATAGAGGATTTTAGAGGAGGTTTTTGAACAAAAAAAAGGACTTAAAAGGATTTTAGAGGACCTGTGGCACACCCTGAACCTGTGCAGGTTTGCCTCCACACAACTCCAAAAATTGTTTTGCTGCATCGACAAGCTGCTATTTTTGAAGAGACGTGAGCTTTCTCAGTATTCATCTTTCACTGACTTTTGTTATACCCATGTGGTAATGTAAAATTTGTAAAATGGTGGTATCTGATACTCTAACTAATGCAGATAACTGTTTTTTCTTCAGATGGGTGTCCTCCAGTACAATTTTTTCCACTTTTTCAACGTCTGATGTAGTGGCCTCAATAGGCCTTCTTGAATGGGGGTCATCTTCAATCAAATCCCAACCACATTTAAAAAGACCATGCCACTTGTAAATCATTGATTTACTAGAGCATTGTTCCCCATAAATGGAGTCTATTTCATTCAAAATGCTCTAAGCGTTCTTTCCAATTTCACAGCAATCTTTTTTCTTTGAGTTGAAAAAAGATTGCTGTGAAACTGACAAAGTTCAAAATGATGTACATTCTTTTTATAAATTGTTTTCAGATTTTATATCAAAAGATTGAGTCAAAGTTTTTAAATTAGACAACATTCACCTACAACCCCAATATGAAGTATATATTCAACCTAGCCTAATATTTACAATACAATCTTTTGCTTAGAACTTAACTGATAAGCATGAGATATATTCTAATTTTATTATATTCTAATTTATAGTATTATTATTCTTTTATCAACTTACTCATTATGTCAGAGTGTTGCCTCTGGTTCAAACATTTTAAAAATATATATTCTTACAAAATTGTACAACCCAAGTGTTTCTTTAATTACTACATTTGAGAGAGAATTTAGCAGGTCAACTTTGTAATAATAAATATCATAAGGCTGTAAAACGTAAAGCTGAAACAATCACGAAACTGCTCAATTGAATGCCTATATCTCAATTACTTCACCTGATAGAATTAAACTTTGCAAAACTATCGATCTGAAAATGCTTTTTTGAAACAAGAAATAAAAAATATGCAAGAAGAATATCAAAAAAATTTATTTCAAGTAACCTCTGATTTTGATGATGATATGAAAAGCCTAATGTCAAATGCTTTTGATATATATAATGTTTCAACCTTTATGAAGTTCTTTCGGAGTGAACAAAAAATATACCTATTATCAAATCCAACATCTGTACGATATCATCTTATGATTATAAGATATTGTCTTAGCCTTTGCGCAAATTCTCCTAGCGCATATGAAGATATTCACTTTAATAGAAAGTCTGGTACTGGTTATTTTGTATTACCAAGCATCGTCGTTCTTGTGAGTACAAGAACTACATTCATCCTCAACATGGTTTCAATCCTGATATTGTTAAAGAGTTGAAATCAAAAGTAAAAGATTTTAGTGATATAAAAAAATATATTGTATTGTTATTTGATGAAATTAAAATTCAAGAAAATCTTGTATGGGATAAACACACAGAAAAAAATATAGGATTTGTCGATCTTGGCGATATTGACTTAAACTATGCAACTTAACAAAAAGTTGAACTCATGCTCTAGTATTTATGATACGCAGTATAGTTAACCCTTTTAAATTTACACTATCTAATTTTGCTACACTTGGAATATCATCAACCCAAATTTCTCCATTATTTCGGAAAGCTGTTGGTGTATGTGAACTGGAATGCAAGTTAAAAGTTATAGCAACAACTTGCGATGGTGCTGCTCCTAACCGAAAATTTTTAAGAATGCATTCACGTTTATCTAATTTTAATGATAAAAAGGATGTAGATGTCACATATAAAACTATTAATCTACATTTTCCTAAAAGGTATATTAACTTTATATCTGACCCCCCCCCCCCCACATCTTCTTAAGACAACAACAAAATATATTTATAGCTCTGGCTCTGGTAAATGTACTAGATACATGTGGAATAATGGTTTATACATTCTATGGAGTCACATAGCAGACATTTTTAAAGACCAAACATGTGGTTTATATCTACTTCCAAATTTATCATATGATCACATTAAATTATCATCTTATTCTATTATGAACGTCAAATTGGCTTAAATTTTTAGCAATACTGTTAGTAAAGTCCTTATTAACTATGGATCTTCAGATGCTTTTGTCACAGCTAACTTTTGTTCAATAATTGACAGTTTTTTTGATATTATGAGTATCAGTAATCCTATAGAATCAATTCAAAAGTAAAAGCAATTCTCAGTCCCATTTTCTTCTGTTGATGACCATCATTTTAACTGGCTCAAAACAGAGTTTTTACCATATTTCGACAATTAGTTAATTCTATCAATAACCGTCAAGGTAACTTTACTCTAAATGATAAAAGTAAAATGTTTATATTGTGGCAAAGCTATGAAGGGATTAAAATTACTGTTAATTCTGCTGTTGAGTTGATAAAATTTTTACTTTCTAATCGTGTATCTAATGTATTAACAGAAAGATTTTGTCAAGTTCCACTTGAAAATTATTTTGGACATCAACACCAAATTGGTTCTTGCAAAGATAATCCATCTGTCCATAATTTTAGCTATAATAATCATACCATTCGAAACCAAAAAGTCTTCCGACCTATAAAAGATGGTAATTCCCAAGAAGATGTTCACTTTGAGATTAATGAAGAACCAGTACCAAGTAGAAAGCGAATAAAAACTTCTCTATAATACACTTATTTAAAACAGCTATTTTTATAGCCACAAATTGTTAAAACACATTATTGACTAAATGAACAGATACTTCATGAACCAATATTGATTGATTTGATCAACAAAAGATGAATACATTTAAATAATATTATACTAAATTGTAATAATATAAAACAAATTTATTTTCTTGCTTGAATAGATTGATGTTATAAGCAGGGTCGACACTAGTGTATTAGACATTTGAGACTAAAACTTCATAATTATTAATTAAATTTGAAAAATTTAAATTTATAAATTGTTTTATTTATATAGTTGCTTAAAATTTTTAGTTAAAACAAAGCATTTGTGTTAAAAAAGATCACTTGTTAAGCATTTTTTGAAAAAAAAATTGAATTTTCTTGCTTTCATAAAATATAGACTACTGAAAAAAACTCTTTCAATATGCATCAGGGGCGGATCAAGCATTTTTTAGTCTTTGAGATAACTTCCAGCTAACTTCCAGACATGAAGCAAACTCCAAACATTTATATGTTTATTCTTACGTCAATTAAGGATGCTTTGTAAAAAAGTAACTATGATAGGAGCCCGCAAAAACAAAAAAGCTATAAAATTTTTTTCCACCATGCCTCAAACCTGAGAAAAAAAATTGATAAAATATTTTTGTATTATTTTTAACTAGACATATTTATTGATAAATTTTAAGTTTCATAGTATGTTTTAATGTTCAAAAATAATGATCATATTAAATTTGTACCCCCCTCAAATTGAGAAAGGTTCGAACTTTATAATTTTTTAATTTTTAAACGCTAAAATATCTTACTATGACATTTAGAGTTTATCAATGAATATAAACCTAGTTGAGAAAAGTACAAAAATATTTTACCATCTTGTTCTCAGGCTCCAATTAATGCAATTTTTTGCAAAGCATCCTTATTTGACATAAGTATAAACAAATGTTTATATAAATAAGAGTATTGGAGTTATAATTGAAGTTAGAGTGAGTCTACTGAACGATTGAACTTGATTCCAAGAGGAAAGTGGGTTCAAAAAATAATGAAAAAGATTTGCATGATTAAACATGACATTAGATTCTAGAACAAAAGTTTAATACTCATGTAAAGTTTTTTACAATCTAATTTTTTTAATATTTTAATTCATAAAGATTTAGCTTTTTAAATATGCAATTTGTAGTTAAATTTTAGGTTAATAAAAATAAATTTAAGAAGAAAAAAAAGCAAATCAAACCTAAAATTTTTGAAAAAATATTCTGACTTCAAAACATCATGATCGAAAAATTAAAATTTTTTTTTAAAATTCTAACTGAGGAGGGGGACTTAACAAACAGGTGGGTGGGAATTTTTATTTTTATTAAAACATTTGTATTTATTTTAAGGTTGGTTTACCCTAAACATTGTTTTTAGTTTTGAGATATCATTTCCTTGTTGATAACAAGTAAATTATAATAAACAGACAGATTTTTTAACTTAATTTTATTAAAGAAAAAAATTTACTTAATAAACTCAATAAGCTCAGAATAAATAGGAAATTTTCTGAAAAAACTTGTATTATGGTAATAAAAACCATCTTGGGCCTAAATGTTATCTAAAAAATTATTAACTATGTAAAGTTTCCCACAAAAAAAAGTGCTTTGAAATTTTATATAGTTATATCTTTTGACTTTAACTCCCATTTATTAAAATTTTTTGCAAAGCAAAATTCTTGTTTGACAAATTGATATATATATATATATATATATATATATATATATATATATATATATATATATATATATATATATATATATACACATATATATATATATATATATATATATATATATATATATATATATATATATATATATATATATATATATATATATGTATATATATATATACACATATATATATATATATATATATATATATATATATATATATATATATATATATATATATATATATATATATATATATATGTATATATATATATATATACATATACATATATATATATATATATATATATATATATATATATATATATATATATATATATATATTCTAGTCGCGACTTGGATATATATATATATGTCCCCGACTAGGATATATATATATATATATATATATATATATATATATATATATATATATATATATATATATATATATATCCTAGTCGGGGACATCTTTTTTTTGTTACTGTTCTGTTTTTGTTTGTTTTTTTAATACTATTTTTATCATATTTGTATTTTTATTTTATTTCTATTTTTATTTATACATATTTAAATTTATTATTTTATTATAAAAATATATTTTTTATATTAATTTTTGTTATTTTTATTTATTTTATATTATATTTCATTTTTAACTTCATCTATTTACAAAAGCAATTAATTACAATAATATAACCAAATTTAAACCTTGCCGTAACCCTAACCCTAAGCCTGATCTTGATGCCTGGCCTAACCAAAACCTCAGTTGATGTAGCAGCACTGCCTAACGAGTCAGGCTATTTGATAGTCAATGTATGTACTTTTCGTTCTCTATAAAATTTTCTTATGGGTAAATTTTTTTACAAAAAAAAAAAAAAATGCTTACGAGGACAAAAAATTAATGGGTACACTAAAATGTCCCCGATAATGCTAATGTCCCCGACATAGGAAAATGTCCTTGCTTTCACTTACAAATTCAAGATCTGTTCAAAAACATTTTAACAAACTTCTTTATTTCCAAAAGTATCAGTTTCACTTCTAATTCTTGAAAAATTGGATAAAACATTTGTATCTTTAAAAAGTGAGGATAGAATATCTTAGCTAAAAATAAAAAATACAAATTTCCTCAATTTTCATTTTCCACAAGCCTGATCTGTTATGCGTGTTAACAAGTTTGTACTCAGGCAAATCATTACTTTCTTGATATTGATCAGCAAGTGAAATTGTATCGCTCTGAACTGATTGACTAGAAAGATGTAACAATATATGGTTACGTACTTCAAATCCAAGTAATGTGGAAGACTGTGTATTTAATCCTATAAAAATTGAATCGATATTGTCAAAGATACTTTTGTAAAAATCTGGATAAATATTTTCGGCATTTCCTTAAAATAAAGATATAACTGGTTTTATAATCTGGTATGCTGTGTTAGCTAAATCGAAATTAATCAAATAATCTTTAAAATGATTTTGTATGGACTCAAAACAATTATCTGATGAAAATTTGCAACACTTCTTTCTAAATATATTTGAAAGTCTTCAAGATCAAGAATTCCTTCTGATAGTTTAGTTTTTCTAATATTTTTTAAAATGTTTGAATGACTTGATAAAACATCAGAATGTTAATTATTTACGTGACGAGTGAGACCTCTAGAGCTCAAACATTTTTTGTTACAAAATTGACAGGAAAGTGTTATTTGTGGTATATCTGAAGCATGTTGTTTTTCAACAATTTAACAAATCCTGGTCAATAACTGTAAAAATAGAATCAAGCTCGCCTTGATGCAACTCAAAAATGGGCTCAAAATTATTTGAATCTTTTGAACTTTCAGCCATCATAAAAGAAAAAAGGACCTCTCGATTTTTAACTTAAACAATGAAAACTATTAAAAACGGCCTGCATTTCCATTTATATATATATATAAACCAGCATTTTTTTACATAATCAACATACATATAACTATGGTTATATGTATGTTGTTTTATATATATTATAATATATGTTTTTATATATATGTTGTGTTATATACATTACAATACTTGTTGTTATATACATGCTGTATTATATATATATATATATATATATATATATATATATATATATATATATATATATATATATATATATATATATATATATATATATATATATATATATATATATATACTCTAAAGTATAACTTTAGAATACTCTAAACTAACTTTTTTTAACTCAGAAAACAAAATATTATCAATATAAACTAATACTTTGGTCAATAACAAAGTTTTATTAGTATAAAATAAATTCTCAAAATATGGGTATTTCTATAATGAAATTAGGTATGAAGGTTTGTTATTTAATTTTAATTTGTCAATTTTATAAAACATAACAAATTATTTTAACATACAATCAATTGCAGTAGACTTGATGTTTTTATTTTCAAGCATTTCAGCAACAAATTCTCGACTTTTTTCATATTCCTGCTGCAGTCTAATAACTTCTTGACGCTGTTCTTCAATTTTTTGACGCTCTTCAATTAAAGACTTCTCCAACTCTTCCTTTTGAATATAATTTTATATTATTACATATATTATAATCAAATTTTTATATCATTACATATATTATAATCAAATTTTTATATCATTACATATATTATAATCAAATTTACACAAAAACAATATGATTGAACATTATTCATGAAAAATATTAGTCTAAACTTTATGTTTTAGACCAAATTTAACTAAAATTTACTTTATGTTTTGCTAAGTTATCTTCTTGCACTTTGGTGGAAAGAAGATATTTTTCTTTCAACAACATTAAACGCTTCATTTCTTCATCCATTCTTTGTTTTTCATAAACTTGCTCCTGTTGAATTCGAAGTTTGAGTTCTTGAAGTTCTCGTTGTGCATTTTCTCGAGCTCGTTCTTGCTCCTCTTTTAAGCGATCGAGAAGTTTTTTTTGATCTTCTAATCGTTTTTCAGACTCCAGGAGTTTTCGATGCTGCTCCTCTTCAACAATTTTCCTTTCATTATGCAGACTGTCAAGTTCCAACCTAAATGGAAATACTAATTAATAATTTGTTTTGTTAAAAATAAAAACATTTTTCAATTAAACATTAGGAACCTGGCAAGTTCAAGTTTTTTAGCATCATCTGCTTGCTTTTCTTCTATTTCTTTCCTAAAATACATTAAAACAATTCATTTAAAAATTTTAAGAGCACTCAATAACTATGCACCTTGATGTAATACTTCCTAAGCTTTATTATCACCATGAATTTAAGGAGCATGGCAAAAATAAACTAGTCTTAAAAATCCATTTATGAGTGTAATAAATGCAAAACATGACCAGTAGTTAGAAAAATTAAGCATGATGAAACTATGCTGCTTTATAAATAAAACATGACTGCCAAAGTCCTGTTTGAACTACCTGTTCTGCAAATTTCAAAATTTAAGACAATAAATTTATATAAAATCATTTACAACACAATAATTAGTTTTTCAAACATGGTTTTCAAACATATGGTTTTCAAACATATGGTTTTTCCTTTTTAAAATAAATCTTTTTCAAATATACAACGTATAAGATAATGGTATACAATAGTATAGCATTGATAATGGTATGTCATTATCATTATTACCATAATGGTATGATTATCAATTATTGAAATAACTCCATAGTAGACTATGTTTATATTTTAAAAAAATTTTCAAAAGATTATCTTTGACAAGGATTGTCAAAGATAATCTTTAGTAATATAATCAGTTTTGATATTTAGTTTATTACAGTAAAAAATTTACTTTAGACCTTTTTTTTTCTAAATCTTTTGTTTCTTCATGATATCGCCTTTCCATTTCTAAGCTAAAAATTAATATTAGGCTTCCAATTATATCTAATATAAAATTTGTTTATTTTTTGACTTTTAAACAAGTAAAAACACTTAATATGACTTGCATTACACCATATTACTACCTGTAACTTACCCTGCATTGTAAAACAAGTAAGAAGGTTGGTCTAGATCTTTAATTTCAGGAACTAATGATGCAAGATTATCAACAGAGGCATACTTTTGACGCAATTTGGCAGCCTCACTAGGATGATTAAATCTAAACATATTTGTTTTACCAAGAAGAAGAACGGCTCCTATAAAACAAAACCTTTTAGATCTTCTGAGAAAAAGTATTCAGTCACAGTTGTCCAAAAAGGGGTCCTAACCTCTTTGCAAATGACCCAAAAAATCCCTTGGAAGGGTGATTCTATAGGTTATGGTGATCACTTTGAAACAAAAATTAAAATTTTTTAATTACATCCACAGGAGAAAATTGCATCCACGTCCACAGGAGAAAATTGCAAGTTTTTACATCCACAAGAGAAAATTGCAAGTTTTTGTCTGATTTACACTAACAGGTTTGCATCAGCTCTAAACAACTCAATGGAAAAAAGAGCTGTAGAAGCAAACGTGAAGCGAAAACTTGACAACCTTTGGAAAATAATTAGAAGATTTTTTCATGATGTCATATTGTTATTCTGGACAAAGAAAAGAAAAATTGAAAAGTTCAAAAATTTTTCCCTGCAAGAACTTTTATGCCTTAATTAACCATATTCTCTCAGTATGAGGACTTACATCACATCATTGGAATTGATGGCGGTTTATTTTTGAAAAATTTTTGAAAAATTACCCTCAGCGTAACTGACTAGATTCTTCAGATGCAAAACTTCAATCGGCTAAGAATTATTCAAATATTGTTCATCCTCCATTGGTTAACCGCTACAGGCAATCTGAACTTATTCTTGATGTAATTCATCCATAATTCATCCATCTTTTTCTTGGAATCTTCAACCATACTTTTAAGCAACTCCTTGAAGTATGGGATCAAGCACAAGAATGACCAAAGCTCTTGCACCTGCAAGTGCAAGCATATCACGGGGACAGTTAAATGGAAATGAATGAAACAAAGTGTTGAAAAATGTTGACATTCTTCAGAGTCTTGCTCAAAAGCACTGCGCATTGCAAGCAATGTCTTTTGTTTATTGCTTCAGAAAGGTTCAATCTGTTAAAAAACTTATTTTGGAAAGATCTTGGAGGCAGGATTCTGTCAAAATATTTCAAAACCTAGCTCTTGGAATTTCAATTACTTTTAAAGTACATGCAATTTTTCATCACATTAAGGAAAATGCTGGAAAAAAGTAAACTGGGTTTGGAGTTTTCAGTGAGCAAACCACTGAACCGATGCATGCCAAATCAAGATCTACTGACAAAGGTTTAAAAGGCAACCTTATCCTGAATACCGGAACAAAAATCTGAGTTGTGCAATTAATCTTAACAGCAAACTTATTGGAAATTAAATTGTTGCTGATCAGGAGAAAAATCTCAGTCAGAATATACTTTCGTATGCGTAATTACAGTCTTGATGTCAAAAGAATTTCTACAGTCCAAAGTTTGAATTGGTTTAAGCTACTGTAAATCAGTGTATATATATTTAAAAACATATGCACATCATTTTTAAAAAAGTTGTGTTTTAAATAATGCCATAATTAAGAATATAATTTTAATATCAATTTCTTTTGATTTTTATCCTACAAAAAAATCAAAAGAAATTTTATATACTATATTGTATATTGATATACTAGTATTGGAATGTATATGCAAATATTCTTTTTTGAAGTCTAATTTTGAATCTAAGGGATATTAGTTTGTGGTATTTGTAAAATTTAAGGCAAAATAAAGTATTTTTTTGAACTTTAGGCTGTGCAAACACTTTTTGAAAATAAATTTTCTCCTTTAGACATAATAAAAAGATTTTATTTTTTTCTTTAAAGTGATCCCTATTACCTATAGAGTCACTCCTCCAAGGAATTTTTTAGGTCATTTCCAAAGAGGTTAGGAAATGACCTAAAAAATCTTTTAGACAACTGTACAGTCATACGACTTGCCTGACCATGTTGTAACAATTTGTGTTGACAACTTGACTGGAGCTATTTTCATGTTTTGACAGTTTAAGCATAAACAGACTTTAGAAAAGATCAAAGTGATTTAATTCTAACTAAACTGCTTTGAAACTTTCAAGTTTTTAAACATTAATACTTCATTGTCTTTTTTTTTCCTGCAAATAATATTTCCACTGTAGGGTGTGTTGAGTGAAACACTTTTCAATTTAAAAAAATATATACATATATTGATTTTATGGTTTTATTTTTTAGGACTAACTTTTATCTATTTTCTTATTTGTGAAGATTTTGTATTCTTTATAAGTTTTTAGTGTGTTTTTTTTTTCAAATATTATCTTTAGTTTGGTTCTTTCAGCGTATTTTTTAAATGTGCAAGTGGTCAAGTTATCAAAACAAATTACTATGTGTGTGGTAAAGCAAGGCATGCAACTGCACATGTTTACTCAAAAGGCCTGATATTTAGTTGTTATTATAAAAAGAAAAATATAGTGAAAACTAAATTTTAAATAGTTTTAAATACAAACATCATTAATATGATATTTAAAATATCTTGGTATGTAACCTTGAGTCAATCTCAGAGGCTTTGTTACTTTTTTTCCATTTACATAATTTTCTTCTGCTATTGGATGAATTGTTACATTCCCTTCAATACTTTCAAGTATGCAATGTTGGGGCTCAACACCAGGACCTCTTAAAACTATAAGTAAAACAAAAAGAAATAACTTAGCAATTGAGTTGTAGTATTAAAGAGAAAGATGAAAAAAAGATGAAAAAATAAAAGAAGTTCAGTTTCAAATCCATGAAAATTAACAAGCTTAACTTAACCAGTGAATTTATTTACTGTATACAAACTTTGTTTATTAAGTTAAGTAAAAAAAAGAAACAGTTTGAGGATTTACTTTGATCTGATTTTGATGCAATTACTAAAATAAAGTTCAAAATTTTTTATACCTATATCCTGTTTAACAGCTGCATCATCTGTTCCTAAATGAGTGCGACCTTCCTATGAAAGTAAAATAAAAACTGTATTACCTATTCCAATAATGAATTGAAATCAAAATGGCTACCTATAATATATATATATATATATATATATATATATATATATATATATATATATACATATATATATATATATATATATATATATACTTATTAAGAATAATATATCATGTTTAAAAACCATCTTTTGTAGCAGTAAATGTATCCTGGCAGAGAATACAAAAATTAGAAATAACAAAAATAAAATTTCAAAAAGATTCTGTACATTAAGATGATATAAAGTAACTCCAGTGCTGAGAATATCATCATCAATACATATAAGATGAGGCATCTCAGATTCCATTTTAATACCAAAACCTTCACGCCTAAATGCAAGAGCTTTTTCCTAAAAAAAAAAATAATAATAAAATGTTTAGGAATATTATTAAAGAATAGATCATAATTAAAAATAAAACATTCAAATAAAAATCTTTTTCATGGAAAAAAAATAAATAAAAAATAATCATTAACTAAATCGGATGAAAGCAACTAAAACAGTCTGAATTCATGATCTTCAGTTCAATGATTTTTTAAAATTTAGCTTTATTTAAAAAAACTTGTTGTAAAATTTGATTATTTCAAGAATTGTTTTTTAGAGCTGCCTAAAGTCCTGATTCAATTGTTTTAAGTTGGTTCTGAATAAAATCACAGAAATCAAAAAATGCCGACTCTAATTCCGAGGGCTGCTCTTTCTATCGACTGTATTTGGCTAGCCAGTTTTTCCAGGTTTTCCAATACATACATACTTTGCAGAGTTTATCTATTATTACTTTTGAAAATTTTTTTGAAAATCTCTCTCAACCCTTTAACTTCAAAAGCTTTGACAAACAAACAACATGGCTGCTGCAAAAAGAAACAAGTTGAACCCAGTACTACCAAGAAATGGTAGGGATCAAACTGGGAACTTCTCATTTATGAAGCCAACACTCAACTACTACAGCACTACACTCAAAAAAATAAATTTTATCGTAATACAATAAATCCATAATGAATCAATAAAGTGCAACTGAAGTAATTTGTTTTTTTGATGATTTTTTTTTTGTCCTTTCTTGATTACATATAACTGAAACTTTAATTATCTAATTATGTATGGAGTTATTCAATTAACTCTATAACAAGTCTATGTAAACTATGACAGACTATTGAGTTCATCAACTAATGTATACAAAGAACTGTAACAAACATAATCCTCCTAAAACATAAAAACTCCTATAACATTAAAACATTCAACTCGCCATTAAACATAAAAAAATAGACTAAAATAAAAATAGTGCTATGAAATTAAAACATCTGTAATTATTTTTTTATTTTATTTTTTTTTAATTTTTTATTACTCTTTTTGAACTCAAGACATTATAATGGTGTGTCATCTGACACTTTTTTTTACTTATAAAATATTTTTATCATTATAGTAACATGATTTAATAATAGTACAAACTAGTTTCACTTGCTAAAATAAAAAACTATAATGAAAATTTATTAATTTTATATAGTCGCAATTGCTAAACATCAAAAAATTTATAAGAAAAAAAATGGCAATGTGTAATGTGGATTTTAAATGACACTGTCTTTTAAAATCCACATTACACATTGCCATTTTTTTTCTTATAAATTTGTGTGTCTTTCTATGTGAAGCTTACTGTAGATGTTAAAAAACAAATTTTTTGAAATCTATTTTAAAACTTTATATCCATTAATACAGCCCCTCCCAACTATATACTATACATTTTTTATTATATAGCGCTTATTATATAGTATTAAATTCTTTTAATGATAAACAGTGAAAATTAAGATATCTAGAGCAGCAATTTGTGAATTCAATGATGAATACAATTCCTTATCTATTAACAATAACAGATACTTTTGGTTTGTGAGATTTTAAAACTATCACACATAAAAATGGATCTAAACAATGCCTTTTGTTTGGTTCAATCTTAAACATTTTAGAATAAAAAATGTATATCATAAATATTCTCACAATTATGAATAATAAGTATTAACCTAAATGTGTATGCAATCATATAGGATAAATAAATAAAGAATCAAAAATCAATAAAAAAAACTTATTAAAATAATTAGTCAAACAACTTTCTTTTGAGTAAAGATGCTTACAAATATGAGGGTTTTTTCTATAATGTTATCTATATCTTTCCAATAGTGTTCAACCGTTTAAATGCTTTAAATAGCAAGTAGTTTTGTCTATAACAGGATTTATATCTTGAACAGAAAAATTTTTAAACAATGAATAGTTTGAAATCTAAAGGAAGAAGATCTTTAGGGGGAGTTAAAAAAAGTTAAAAACTTTTATTGAAACACTAACCATATGGTAACCAATTATAATATTTTTTATTAATTGGGTGTAATTTTTACTACTCTTTTTTTTAGGTAGGAATAATGGATTTTTTTTCTTTTAAAATTTGAGAAACTCAAATTTTTTTAAACTAAAAATTAGAATTTTTGATAATCCACACTAACCTTTATTTTAATATGATATATGTAGTTTAAAGAACATGTCACTTGCAAAATTTAATTTCCTATTATAGTTTTTATGTATGAGTGTGCATGTGTAAATGTGTGTGCGTGTGTGTTCAGCCATGCATAAAAATCATTGATGATATTATTTTGAAATAAGCAACAACGAGGCTTCAATACATACACCAACTGAAGGTTTGGGCTGAGTTATTATATGAAGAACTATTATTGTGGCAAAAAAAAAATTGTTTTTATTATTCATTGTTTTTTCTTCTTTTTCTGAAAAAAGTCAATAGAAAATACAAAGGAAACTCAAACAATTTACCAATTGACATTTACAATTTATGTGTGGAATAAAAAAGTAATATAACCCATAAATTGATAAATTAAGGATGATGAAAAATTTTAGATACACAAATAAATTTTGGTTTTACCATTAAAATATTAAAAATCCACACTTGAGCATTGTTAAAACTATGTTCATGATCTGAAAAAAGATCATATTATATCTCTTTATCTCTATTATATTATATCTCTTTACCTCTATAATATTATATCTTTTTACCTCCATTATTTTGTGAGTTTCTTTCCATTTATTATTCCAATCTTTATATAGCTGTTGGACTTGTGCTTCATTTTTATGTAACTTTTCAGTCATTAGTTTTTCCTCATTTCTGCTGTTAGGTGTAAGTAAACTCTAAATAAAATATTAATCAAGTGGAAGCGATATGAATAAAAATAAAATAATAAATGCAATAACAATATAGTTTTAACAATATAGTTTTCTAACTTTATTGATATAATATTAGTCATAAATACTTAAATTTGAAAATATAAAAAAAGTTATTTCTTATGAAGTTTGCCTGTATGTACTAGAAAAATTGTATTTATAACAAAATGTTAAAAAAAAGAATATTATATATTTCTTATGATTAAAATATATTGAAAAATAAAAAAAATAAATAAAGATATACATCTTTAAATTAAAAATAAGTAAAGAAAAAAAAAAATTTAAAAAGAACTGAAGCATATCTATGAAGTAATCTTAAAATCTTAGTCAATAACCACATAAAAAATTAAAATTTACTTCTTAATAATAAATAATGAAAATATGTCAATTCAAAATATAAAATCATCATTTATCAAGTTATCTCTTTTAATAAAACAATTTTTCAAAGTAACCAAATAGATTTTATACTTCATTACAAATAAACTAATTAAATAATTTTCTTTTATATGTATATATATATAATTTTCTTTTATATGTATATATGTATGTATGTATGTATGTATGTATGTATGTATGTATGTATGTATACATACATACATACATACATACATACATACATACATATATATATATATATATATATATATATATATATATATATATATATCATCAAAGCAGACATTATACTGAAGGAATTTTTTACATTTATTGAAGGAAAGAAATAAAGGATAATTTATAGCAGAACAGACATTATACTGTATTGATAGATACAGTATGTCTGCCTTTTTTTTTCAAGTAACTTTCTGCATATATCTAGCAATAAAAGTAGAAGAAATTCCATGATTTGAGTATCAGGCCAAATAAAATTATTGTATGGCAACTTCTGTATATCATGAGAAATGGACAATGTTAAATACCATGTATGGCACTGCCTGCTTTATGAGTTTTAGTAAAGCCACTCAACAGCCAAAGCCACATGGAATATGAACTATAGATCAGTTAAAGGTGTTGGCAAAGCATTCAACACTTTTTTAACATCAGTGTAATACTGCAAGATGGATGCAGATTTAGCAGAACAATGAGATCAGATTTGGAGCAGCTAAACAAAAGGAATCCAAAATTAACAAAGGACCACTTAGAAATTGTACTTCAATACCTTCATACAGGGTTGCCACTATAATTTTTAAAGTTTTTTTCTGATTTTTCTCTGATTTTTCCCCAAGTATTCCCTGAGTAAAGAACATTTTTCCCTGAGTTGATCTCTTTAAGTTCTCTGATTTTTCCCCTGAATTTTCTATATTCTTTCCTTTTCATCAACAAGATTATTATTTTCCTTAATTAAACACAATCTTAATATTCGACAAACTAAAACTTTTACAACAACACCCACATCTTGCAAACTTATTATATGTATTATCAAAATATTAAAAAAAAAAATTAGTAGACAAAATTTCAAAAAAAAAATTATTTTCTCTGAGTTTTCCCTAAATTTTAAAAAATTTTTAAAAAATCCCTGAGTTTTCTAGGTTTTCCTTGGGATTTATGCTATTTCCAGGTTGAGTGGCAACCCTGTTCATAGTATTATAGAATATTACTTGCACAAATGGTAAAGCCCTTCAACTTCAGTGTTTAAATACCACATAAACTACAACTTATTTGACTACTCAACAATTAACAAATTAGTCTTAGTTACTAAGCAACACCATATGCAATTTAATATTCCACAACAAGGAAGCAGGTCAATAGCATCTTAATCCTCTCTTTGATTCTAAATCTAAAATGTTCTACACTAATGGCATTAATTCTTTGCCTAAGTGTTGGTAAGAGGCTATAGAAAATAAAGATGCATACACTGTTGAAAATTAGTTATATAAAAATAAATGATAAATTTTTGTGAAAAAAAGATTAACACATTTTTTAAATTAAATCAACATATGCTTCCTTGTAGTAAGAATATGCTTCCTTCTAGAGGGTTTCCTTCTAGTAAGCATATGCTTCCTTCTAATACATATGTTAAGAAGATTATTTTTTAGACTATTTAGACTGTTAAGAAAATCTTACGGCATTTAATTTAAGATTTGTATATAAAATCCTTCAAGTAACAAATAATAATTGAAAAAATTTAATAATGTTATTAATAAAAAGACTGTAGTTTTTAATAATGTTATTAATAAAAAGACTGTAGTTTTTAATAATGTTATTAATAAAAAGACTGTAGTTTGTACCTTATCAACATTTTGAAGTAACCTCCTCAAGCTTTCAATTTCTTCGCGCAGATCACGGATAAGCTTCACACTTGCATCCTTTTTTAAAAAGAGATCTTAAATAAAAAACTTTGAAAAGAAAACTTATCCTTAAGTGCAGCTTTTCAGCCACTATTGAGAATAAGAAATAAATCATTTGAAATATCAGAACGGTATTAAAGCTCATACAAAATTTTTCTTTTTTATACCTCATTAATAGTTGGCTTGTTTATAATATTCTTAGCACGATTAGCGTAACGCAATGTGCTAATAGTTTCTGAGTAATTTATGTCTGCTGGAGATATGGCTAAAAAAATTAACATATGTTCCTAAAAATATGGTCAATAAATATATATATGTGTGTGTGTGCGCACTTACATGTGTATATATTAAACAATAAGTTAAACTAATTACCATAAATATCAAAAAGTTTTCTTACCTGCAATCATTATAGTTTTAGAGTTTCCACCCAAACTATCTTTCAGCAACCAAGTCAATACAGAATCTCTGTAAGGTACAAAAAGCTTCTTTTTTGAAATACTTATATCCATGTTTGAGGATTCAGCTAATATAAAATCTTGCATTAGTCATTAATATTAAATAAAAAAAAAAAGTATTAATTCCTGTAATTATAAAATAATTTCAAACAACAAATGGAAATCTTGTTATAACTACATTGTCCAATTTTCCAAAACACTCTGTAAATCCATTTGCTGATACAAATGTACGCAATAGTTTGTTGTGAAAAATTGTAGAGACAGAATAAAAAAGACAAGAACATTGGTTATTATTTGAGAGTTTATATTAGAGTTTATATGTGTATTTTTGAGTTATAATTTGTATATATTTGTTTTAGAGCTTATTATAAAGCCCATGGATAAAGTTAGATTCGCAAGCTGTATATATATATATATATATATATATATATATATATATATATATATATATATATATATATATATATATATATATATATATATATATATATATATATATATATATATATATATATACATATATATATATATATATATATATACATATATATATATATATATATATACATATATATATATATATATATATATATATATATATATATATATATATATATATATATATATATATATATATATATATATATATATATATACATATAGATATATATATATATATATATATATATATATATATATATATATATATATATATATACATATATATATACATATATATATATATATATACTCATATAGTGTCGCTTTAAGAGCATTTTAATGTAAAAAAAGTCTCTTACGACTACAATTTTAATTACCTCGTCTCTTAAGCTGTTTTTGATTGTCATCGAAATGTCAAAGCAATTAATTTATGCGGAAGTACATTAAATTTAATTGTTTTTTAAAAAATTTTTAAAAAACCGCAATTATAACGACTAGAAAGTTTTTTTTAATTAGTGGTGTTTTTGTTATTGATTTAATAAAAAACATTTTTTAAACATGCGTAAATGTTGCTACATCGACTATCTTATAGCCTGACTCGCAACAGAGTGCTGCTACATCGACTGACAAATAGCCTGACTCGCAACGGAGTGCTGCTACATCGACTGACAATTAGCCTGACTCGCAACGGAGTGCTGCTACATCGACTGACAAATAGCCTGACTCGCAAGGGAATGCTGCTACATCGACTGACAAATAGCCTGACTCGCAAGGGAGTGCTGCTACAACGACTGACAAATAGCCTGACTCGCAAGAGAGTGCTGCTACATCGACTGAGGGTTTGGTTTGGCCAGGCAGTCTATCAATTAAAGAAAAAATTTAATATTTAAAACTTTTTCTGGTCTGGTTTATTAACGCGCTCTTTAAAACTACAGTTTATGGGAAATATTTTTTGATGCTACGCAAGAGACATGCAAGACTATATATATATATATATATATATATATATATATATATATATATATATATATATATATATATATATATATATATATATATATATATATATATATATATATATATATATATATATATATATATATATATATATATATATATATATATATATATACACACACACACACACACACACACAGGCCTTATTTTAAAGCGTTAAGTGATTTTTATGTAAGCAATAAGCGATTTCGGTTAAGCAACATTTTATCATTTTTTTAACTTTTTAATTATACTATAAGCAATAAGATAAAAGTAACTAATTTTTAAAAAAGTCATATTAACTTTTGAATGATATTTATGTAAAAATACTTCTTACAAAAGTTTAAATGACAATTATGTTTGATATAAGCGCTATTTAAATAGTAAATTTAAATAATAAATATTTTTTATAGTAAATATTTACTGATAAAAAAAACTAAAAATTAAAACTTTAATTTTATATTATTTTTATTTTATTGTAATGATTTTTTAAGCTTGAAGCAAAGATCATAAAAATTTAATTCTGATAAAAATACATGATTTAATTTAAAATTAATTTAATAAAAAAAAACAGAATTTTATTCTGATGAAAAAAATATATAATTTAATTTAGAATTTAAAAATATATAGGGTCCTTTCCACACTTACCGTGAGTTTAACAAAAGTTATTAAAATATGTTAGATTACTCAAAAAGTAGAAATTTATTAGAAATGAATTTTTGCAGCCATCAATGTAGTATTATAAGGGTTAGTTTAAAATTATTCTCACTCTGAAACTTAAATCAATAATGTACTTATTTTGATCAAACTTTTAAAGCGCAGTTTTCCATACTTATCGTAAGTGTTTCACACTTATCGTATATATTGTTGACACTTATCGTATATCTTAAAATCTGCTTTAGTTACTGGTTTATAATGCGCTTGCGGTTTCAAATGAAAATTTAATGCATTAGTAACATTTTATTAAAAATTTTTAGGTATATAAATTAAAAAAAAAGACTATTAAATAAACACTAATTATATAGTAATGAAAATATTACTTTGAATTAAAACTAAAGATTTTTAAAGCATTTCCTATACTTTAGTACAAATCTTTTAAACAGGAAATGATAGAATTTCATCATAATTATCTGAGTCTTGTATTATAATTATGGTTAACAATGGAACTTGTTTTCTGACTCAGTTTCAAGGCTTACTTTTTATTTTGCGACTTTCTTATTCTTTTTCTAAGTTTTCATGTTTTCTCTTTCTTTTTTAGTTTTTTCATTTAATAACTTTTTCTCCGTAGCCATTTGTTTCTTTCTTAATCTTTCTTCCTCTTTTTTTGACTTTTTATCTGCAGCTAATTGTCTCTTTTTTAATTTTTCATCATTTAATTGTGACTTTTCTTGCAATTTTGTCTTTTGAATTTGTTGCCACGTTTTAAATGTTACGACCGATGGTAAACGTTCTATTTTGCGCTTGGACGTTTGGACTGGTTGATTTGGCCATACTAAAACACTTTTAATTGGATTTATGATTTCTGCTGCTATTTTTAAACTAGAACAAGCTGGTTTTGGTTCTATTACCGCTACAATATTGCAATCAAGCATTTCAATACCGGTTTTAACTTGCACATTTTCTAAATTACAAGTTGTTGATAGATTTTTATTACTCTGTTGTATTTCATCAGGTAAAATTGTGGTCTTATATGTTTTAGATGAGGCTCTTTTCCGAAAATGATACAGCTGGAGTAATTCAAGATCACCTTTCCAACCTAGATGTTCGTCAGCTATTTTAAACTGCTCTAAAATACTTGGATCAATGCAGTTTTCAATAAAGTTTATGGGAGAGGAAGCGGATAAAGTCACACTTGATTGATTCTCTTCTAAATAAGGAGTCAAAGCCACAGTTGACTCAGATAATCTTTGAACAATTTTTGTGTAGTCCACACTATTAGCATCAAATAGAAATATTCCGGTATTTTTAAAAGCACTTTTAACATTATTTGCCATAGAAGGATCGATTATAAATGAATTTAATTCTGGAACATTTTCATTGTTTATTTCTTGTCCTTAATGGTCAATGCGCCATTGTCGGCAAAAAGATTTCCACTTTGCTTTCATTGGCCCAAAAACTGCCACATTGAGCGGCTACAAAATATGTGTTGCATTTGGGAACAAAGCAACAAAAATTATTCCATTTTTAGAGCAAAACTCACTAAGTTCAATAAAAAAATGTGACGCATGATATCAAAAAAAAACAAAAAACAACTGGTAAAGGAATTTCTTCTTTTATCAAAATTGGATGAAAAATGTTTGTAATATACTCAAAAAAACATTCTGCGGTCATGCAACCATTTTCACTTTTTCCAATAACCCATCCGGATGTATTTTTAATTCTATTTGGAAGACAAACATATATAAAAATTGTTAATGATGGAGCAAAGGTTCCGCTGGCATTTACTGCAAATAAGGTGGTGATGCTTTGTTTATTACTTTGAGCACTTTCTTCATATGTACTTTTTCCTCGTTCACCAATTAATAAATTAGTTTTTGGTGATAACTGAAAACCACTCTCATCCATATTGAAAACGCACATCAAATCATTTAAATATTGAGTGTTTCCTCCTAAAAGCTTTGGAATTTCAGTAAACCAATCTTTTATGGCTTTTTAAGTTATTCCTCCTCTAGCTCGGTTTAAGAATTCACCTCGTTTTTGAGCTATTCGTGACGGTGAAGAAATGCATAAAACCAACCTTTTGCAGGACGGTTGTTAGTAAATTGTGTTTTTATATTTTTGGAATTCAAGTATTTTTGCACACTATCTTATAGCTGTACTACAGACATGGCAAATCCCATTCTGGTGCATGTTAGTAACCACTCGTCTAATTTAGTTTCAATGTGTTCACCTAGTACTGATTCATAACCGCAGTATTGTATCTTCAGAGAAGTTTTTCCAGATATTTTATCACAAAGCGTCTGATTAGGAATTCCAAACGTCTTGCTAGCTTTGTACACAACCATACCTTTTTTAACAGTATCAATAGCATCTCTTAATTGGCTATCTGTATATTGAAGTCTTCGTTTTGAGCTAGAAACTTTTGTCTTATATTTTTGTCTTGCCATTGTAAAAGAATCTAAATAAAATAATTTTTCTTTATGCAAAAAAGAACCAAGTTGATTATTTATTGGACATACGATATGTATAGAATGACATTTTTTTTGTTTATATTTATCGTACGTTCAAAAATACTACATTGATATGATAATGATTAGTGGTTTTAATAATATTAATAATGACCCATGTTTTATTCACCTTATTAAATCAATTTAGAAATAAAATTTTATCTTATCTTCTTAAATTATCTTGTTTTACTTGAAACACTTCTAACAGCTGGTACTTATAAAAAAGTATTTTCATAGGCTGACGTAATAAACCCACTGAGTTTATATAAGTAACTATGTATTGCGGTTTCTATGTATTGTAATAGAAGTGCATGACGATGTTGTTGATAAACAAAATATATATATAAAAAAATAATTACTACTTATTGCAAAATTTATGTTAGTATTTAAAACCTACGATAAGTGTCGACTCACGCTAGGTGTGGAAACGACCCTAATTCAATTTAGAATTAAAAAATATATAA